CTTATTTTTTACTTCGCATAATATCAGTACCAAACGGAGTCCAAACGCAGCGAAACTTGGATATTTTTTTGTACCAGAAGACACCTTGTGGGATCAATAAAGCACCTGGCGGGAGGCCCATGGGGAGCACAACCCACCAGGGCGCGCCCAGGGGGTTGTGGGCCCACGAAGGCCTCTTGCACCACCTCTTCACCCTATAAATTCCAAAATATTGCAAAAACCCTAGGGGAGTCGACGAAGCACAATTCCAGCCTCCGCAAGTTCTAGAACCACGAGATCCAATCTAACACCATCACAGAGGGGTTCATCTTCCTCATTGATGCTTCTCCGATGATGTGTGAGTACTCCACCATAGACCTACGGGTACATAGGCAGTAGCTAGATGGCTTCCACTCTCTCTCTCTCTTTTGATTCTCAATACAATGATCTCTTGGAGATCTATTTGATGTAATGACTTTTTGCGGTGTGTTTGTTGGGATCCGATGAAGTTTGAGTTTATGATCAGATCTTTTATCCATGAATATTATTTTAGTCTTCTTTCATCTCTTATATGCATGATTATTTATACCATCATATTTCTTCTTTGAATCTTTGGTTTAGTTAGGCCAACTAGATCGACTTTTCTTGCCATGGGAAGAGGTGCTTTTTGATGGGTTTGATCTTGCGGTGTTCTTTTCCAGTGACAAAGGGGGCAGCAAGACACACATGTATCGTTGCTATTAAGGATAACGAGATGGGGTCTATTCCTACATGAATAGATCTTGTCTACATCATGTCATCGTTCTTATTGCATTACTCTGTTTCTCCATGAACTTAATACACTCGATGCATGCTGGATAACGGTTGATGTGTGGAGTAATAGTAGTAAATGCAAGCAGGAGTCGGTCTACTAATCTTGGACGTGATGCCTATATATTTATCATTGCCTCGGATATCGTCATAATTATTTGATCTTGTATCAATTGCCCAACAGTAATTTGTTTACCCACCGTGTGCTATTTCTCGAGACAATCCACTTGTGAAATCTACGGCCCACGGGTCTATTCCTTATCATATTTGCTTTTCGATCTATTATTTGCCACTTTTATTTTTAGATCTATATTTCTAAAAACCAAAAAAAATACCTTGCTGCATTTTTTCTTATTTATTTTATTTCACGTTCTATCGAGATCTATTTATCCAATCTACCACAAAACAATTTATCTTTTTTACTGAGGAGGGATTGCCAACCCCTCTTACGCGTCGGGATGTAATTATTTGTTCTTTGTGTGCAAGTATCGTTTACATAGGCTTGCTTGGTCCTCCTACTGGATTGATACCTTGTTTTCATAACTGAGGGAAATACCTACCGTAGTAGTGCTGCATCATCCCTTCCTTTTGGGGGAAATACCGACGCAGTTTCAAGCGACATCACTCCACCTCACGCTCAATCTGCATCAGGCGCTCACCTTCTGCCTGCTCTGCCGAGAATGCGCGGGCCTTCCACTGCTCAAGGTAAGCCGCGCTCTATGCAAGCGTGGTGTCGAGCCAGACCGGGGAGGGGGCGCTAACCCACTCACGCAGCCCACTCCCATTGGTCCACATGCTCCGTCGGCATTGGGATGCACTATGGATCCAAATGCCAACCATGTGGGAGATTCACATATGGGTACGGCAGCTGCTGCCAGTACTGCCAGTGCCACTGTGCCTGGTGCGCCAGTATATTTAGCTACTCCCTCACGGGGCATGCAGGCGCCGGGGGTGGCGACAGAGGAGGCGCGGGACGAGCTGGCACCAGGGGTGAGCTTCCCCTTGCTCTTGCAGCTATCGCTGAAGAAGTCCATGGCGCTAGGCTTTGCTTGTCGGCTGCAAAGGAGCACGCAAGGCTAGATGTGGACGGAAGTGGAAGTGGATGAGCACCCTCCCCCCCTCGCCCACGCGTGGATTAAAAAGGACGGCCTCCCATAGCTTCCACTCACTGATGTGTGGGCCCGCGCTAGGTTGCCGCCATAAATATGACCGCGAGCGGTGGTTGGCCAGCCAACATGTGCGGCCGTGGCAGACGCCAAGGGGACGTGTGGCGCGCCTATTTTGTGTCCACGCTGACGCAAACCAGGTCCAAATTTGGGCCTGAAATACGTCGTCACGGACATCTAGCGGACGCATTTTAGATTTGGGTCGGTGCATTGGGCCATCGTTTTTGTCTGCTTCGACCTAAATGGACATACACGGACGAAGTGGGTCGGCCGGCTGGAGTTGCTCTAACTGTTGGAGGAGGTGGTGGAGGTGGAGGTGGTTCCTTTGTGGCAGAAATCACATATTTGACCTGAGGGCGAAATCAAATCACAAACTGACCTGCTCTCGAAAAAATTTCACAGTGATGACCCTTTCGTGTGGCGCCCGACAGCTAGGCGCCGCACACTACTGTGCAGCGTCTCGGCCTTAGGCGTCGCACCTCCTGCCAGCGTGGCATCCCTGGTCCAGTTGCGGCCCCACAGACAGCACTGCAGCGCCTAAGGCCTAGGCGCCACACTTGTAATGTACATCGCCCGTCTCTTAGGCGTTGCAGGGCATGGCAGGACCAGAGACCCCGTGATACCGAATCTTCAGAGTTCAAGCTTCTGCAAAAAACAAGTAATGACAAATCTTAGGGCATGTAAATTTCAATTTAAGGCAAATTTGCAAAATATTTAGATTACTCGTTATTACCATATCCTTCTCGCGCATCATGTAGGCCCGGTGTTTCGTGTCGTAGACATCGTCGAGAAGCCAAACCATTCTTACAAATTTCAAACAATAAACATATATGAGTTCATCTCAAATATCGGTAAACACTCAACATTTCATATGTGTTCATCTAAACATCTCATATGTATTCATCTACAAGAATCTCAACATCTCCTTCTCACACAATGAATAAATGATTGTAAATTCTCATATATATCTAGTATGTCATATGTGTTCAAGTAAATCAACATCTCATATTTCAAATAAACTCAACATTTAATATATATCTAAAAAAACTCAACATCTCACATATAGCTACAAAACTCAACATCTCATAATTATCTACAAAACTAGGCATCTTATATATATCTAAAAAAATATACAATCTAGGTTTCACTAACAAGAATCATATAGTGTGTGGGGGGGTGTCAAAGGTTCCACCTAATCTTGGGCAAATCCCTAAAATTGCAACGAATTTACGGAGGAAAAAAAAGGGAACGAAGGAGTTTACCTAGTAGGAGGGATTGGAGATCAAATCCGGGCCTCAAAACTTCAGATCTGAGAGGTGTGTGGAGGGGGATCCGAAGGGGGCGCCGCCGCCGCTCTCTGTACAGAGAGCAACTTCCTCAGAGAGGAAGAACTGCCTGGGAGGGGCTGGCCCGATGCGGCTTAAGTCAATGTGCGGCGCCCAAGTGATAGGCGCTACACTTTACACAGTGTGGCGCCCAAGCCTTAGCAGCTGCAGTGCTGTCTGTGGGGCCGCAAATGGACCAGGGATGCCACGCTGGTAGGAGGTGTGACGCCTCAGTCCGAGGCGCTGCACAGTAGTGTGCGGCGCCTAGCTGTCAGGCGCCACGAGAAAGGGTCATCATTATGAAAAAATTTCAAGAGCGGGTCAGGTTGTGATTTAATTTCGCCTTAAGGTCAAATATGTGATTTCTGCATTCTTCCTTTGTGGCTCTCCTGGCCCAAGTACCAATTAAAGCGCGGCACATCGCACTCCACCTCGCCCCGGCTACACAGGTACAGCACTAGTCATCTAAAAAAAGAAGTAGCAGCACCAGTACTCCTCCTACACTCCTACCACGATGCTACGCAGCCGGTAGCCTCCGCGTCTCCCGAAACGAAAGAGAACCCAGCACAGCGTGGCCGTGGCGTTGGCATTGGCACCCGCTGGAAAAGAGGGAGAAATGGCAGCTTGCTAGGTGCAGTGGGCGACCGAGGACTGAAAGGCAACGGCGAGCGTGACCAGACGCTGCGGCGGATCGCCCGGGGCGGGGCGCGAGCAAGTACGCCTGCGCCTGTACGTCCACATGGCACAGGCAGGGAGGGAGCCGACTCTTTTCTCGTGTCGTGGCATTTCTTTTCCTTATTTCCTCCCTGGGACGGCGCGCGAGGTGGATGCCCATCGGACGGGGCGTGGTCGCGGTCTGCGGCCTGCGGGGGACCCCGGCCTCGTTGGCCCGCCGTGCCGGGCTCATTGCCCCGGCAGGCATACTCCAGCGCAGAGAGACCAAGCACAAGATACTGTAGGTAAAAAACAATTTGCGCACGCGTCTGGTGTTGACCAACCGAGGCTGCAAAGTGCAAGCCAGGGCTGCCAGATGAGTCAAAGACGTCGTCGCCGTCGTCAGGGGCACGTCGATGCCGTGCGTGCATGGGCATGGGCGCGGCAGAGCAGAGCAGCAGGGCTCTGCTTTTGGTAAAACGATTGGCGATCGGAAACGAGCTTGCATTGCATACTGGCAGTGGCAGGCATGACATGGCGTGCCGTGGGCATGCGACCCGGCGAGCGGCGGACGCGTCACGTCCGGCGAGATGGGACGGCCACGCCTCGAAGTCGCTCCCCCACGTCGCGTCGGAGCGCCACACCAGGCAGCGAGCGAATGATTGCGCCGTGGAAAGTGAGTGACAAGGCGTCGCGTGTGCGACCACATAAGCAGAGTTTCAGCAGAGGATGATGTGGACCGTGCGACCACGAGAGCACCGAGTGACAATTCAGCACCAAGGCCTGAAAACTTCTGCCTCACAACAGGCACACACACGCACCAGGTAACATAACAGGCTTCAGCATGGACGCACAAATGTTTCCAGAGTCACTTCTCCAAGATACTCGATCCATCCATGTCTCGAGGATCTAGGGGCCAAACGATAGCAGCAGCTGCTAATTAAGCGACGAAACCGTACGAGGCACTACAAGTAAACCGCACGCGACGCATCCACTCACGCAAAGACTACGATCCATGTCCCCATCGTCCACATATCAGGGAAGCAGTTGGGTTGGTGGCGTCTTCTTATGTGGACAGGAACGAGGCGTTGTTGCTGTTGCTGGTGTCGTCGCTGTAGATGCTCTCTGCCACCTCCCAGATCTGCAGCACGTTGTCCTCCGCCACGCTGGCCACCACCCACTTCTCGCTGGGGTTCCACGACAGCTCCGAGATCTTGGCCGTGTGCCCGCCGTGGACGAAAAGGAGCTCCGGTGGCCCGTCACCCGCGTCCTCGTCCGCCTGCTCCTCGCCGATCCTGAAGGCGATGGACAGCATATGACAAAATTCAGCCACAAATCGCATGGAAGATAGCATATCTGTCAAGTCACGAAGCTCTCAAAGGCAGTCCACACAACAACCAGGTGTTCATCTTTTGTACAGATAGTGACCGTGGATGCATATGCCTTAGCAATTTATTTACTGAGGTTACAAAATGCAATTCATCTTTTGGGTCAATCTCAGCTCACATCAGTATGTTTGTTTCCCTTTGGGAAGGATTCACGAGTAAATAACAGTGTGGCGGCACCAAAAATGAGATGCCAGCTGCAAATGTAAGATAGAATATGGGAGCAGATTTGACTAAACTTACCTGCTAACGTCCCATATCATCACCCTTTTGTCTGCAGCATGGGAAGCTAATACAGTCTCCAGATTTGGATTCCACTCAACCTGGAAAACCTCGCCCCTGCACGTGCAAATTGCGCAACACAATAACATCAGATGCGTAGCAGCAAAACTGAAGAATAGCAGGTAGACTGATCAATAAGAAACAGAGAGTTGTCTCGACAAAAAAAAAGAGAAGAACTGACTGCCGCAAATAGGTAAGACAAAAAATATATATACATACTCATGGTTGTCGAAAGCATGCAAGCTTCTAGATAGTTTTCGCAAGTCAAATAGCTTAATAGTTCCATCGCCAGATGCTGTAGCCAAGATCCATTCATTAAATGGATTGAAGGATAGAGAGTTAACCTGAAAAAAGTGATGATATACATCATGATGAGAACACATGAGAATACTGAAATAAGGGACATCTATTTACACAGAAACAAACTGTAGGTGCTAGCATAAACATTGATATTTTCTATTCACCATGCAGAGCCACATATCACCAAGGTTTTGTCATATTCTAACTCAAAGTCACAAACATAAAACAATCACACAAGCAAACTTCAGTACAGTAGCTACAGTCACACAAGCAAACTGATGATATACCAACTAAAAAAACCATCTGCTGGTGAAAATTTTGAAGCCAGACACAAGGAATAAGTATATCATTACAACTTTAGAAAACATGCTTCACATACCACTCCGGTACATAAAGCAAAGGTCTTGCTTACTAAAAAATGAGTATAGTGCAGCTATGTTCCCCTCGACACAGAAAAACATTTAGCCCAGTAGCTCTTGATCAAAGCATGCTAACTTCCTTTTAATGAGCACCTACAGGTTGTTCCTGTTTGTTCATATGCAATTCCAGCGGCGAGGCCAGCCTAAAGTTTCTGTGGGGTCAATGGTATTTTTTGGATTTTTTTTCTTCAGTATGAACAGTACTGAACAGTGTTTTAGGCTTATTTTCTAAAAAGCTGTGGGGTCAACTGATCCCACAGACTAACACATAGCTTCACCGCTGTGCAAGTCCCACGTCATGAGCTTGCAGTCGTCACTAACAGACCCAAATAGGTTTGCATCTTTTTCAGTAAGGATGCTTCCACAAAGAAAAGGTCTTCCCACTATAGTAAAAGTTGAGCTTAGAATAAACTGTAGTACTGCAGCTATACTCCACTCAGACACAGAAAAACATTTAGCTCAGCAAAAAAGTGAGTATAGAACAAACTGTAGTACTGCAGCTATGTCCCCATCAACATAGGAAAACATTTAGCTCAGCAACTATCAATTAAAGCATGCTTACTTCCTTTTGGTGCGCAACTATAGATTGTTCTGGTTTGTTCGTACGCAGGTCCCACATCATGAACTTGCAGTCATCACCAACAGATCCAAATAGGTTTTCATCCTTAAGGTGCCAAGCAACATCTTCAACGACATCCTCATGAGCCTGCAAAAACATAAAATTTAACTAGATGTTTAACATTGCCAGCCTTGCTTACATACTCATGATTGTGAAGATCGTCATATCATAAAATAAACACCCATACACTCTTATGTCGCATCTGTAAAACAGAACCATGCAATTACGATTTTGGATTTTGGACAAGTAAGACAAGCACGTAAGTAATGAGGTAACTTAAGAAATCATGATTGTGACATCATATCAAAATAATGTGGATCCAGGCATAATAGTTACAAGTCCCGTTTCCACTTGTGGCCATGTTCACAGATGAATGTTTTTAGTGACAACAGAAGCGTTGTCAAAAATAATATGACTAATAAGGATGGGGAGCTATGATGCTCCGGCTGGAGAATGGCTGATGGAAGTCATACTTCTATGCTGGGGTTCAGTTACTTTGGTATGCTTCTCAGTGTTCAGCTGATGCTGGTCTTTGTAATGAGCAAGTACTTTGTAATAATGGTTTCTGAACCTGTCGTTTAAGTTTAAGCTGCTGTAGTTGTTTTTGAGTAAGCTCAGTCCTGAACTGTAAGGCTTGTGATTGGAGGCTGATATGGGGTGAAGAAACTCATTTTATTTGAAAAATAAGTAGCCAAATGATGCAATACTCACCACCTACTTGCTTCAAAAATGGAAAAGGTCTCCAGCCTCCACATTAATTTTTTAAAGGCATGTAGTCAACTGAGTAAGTCTTTTCAAATAATAGAAAATTGTGTTTTCACCATCCAGCTAAAACAGTATTTTTCCTAGTATGAAACCACTGCAAACAGCAAATAAATTTATTCAAGTCTAATCTTCATATTAAAGCACCATACATAAGTGATGAATTATAGTGGCAACCAAGCCAATGGCGGATCTAGGATTTTGAAACAGGATGGTCCACCTTACAAAAAAAGTTGGATAACAAATACGGCATGCCGATGGACTAATTGATTTACCAATAGCAATATAGAAATAGATCAATTTGGGCATACAAATATATTAAAATTCTCAATAAAGTCTGAATTTTGCATCCTAATTGGACAATGTCACAATGGAGACAGAAAGGCCAAATGAATCAATAATCATAATTAGACAATGTCAAAACGCACACAGCAAACCCTAATTATAATGAATAATCAATAAAGAACTAAGATGCAATCAATAAGAAATTTTTGAATGGGACGGTATTGAGGTCTGAGGACAACCAAGCTGCGTCAGGCTGCTGGATGGTGGACTGCTAGTTGCTGCACACTGCTGGACACTGGGCAGCGGGCGGCTCCTAGCCTCCTGGGGATAAAGCACACATCCACTAAAGCCGCGGCGTTCGGAGACGGCCAGGAGGCAGGCGTCGAGTAGAGACCCGGAGCGCAGACCATAGAGGGAATCAGAGTTGGGATTCGGGACGCGGTGCGGCTGTGCGTGCATGCGGGTCAGGACGAGTAGGCTGCCAATTGCTTGGTGGGCTTTTTAGACAGACTGACCCAAAATCCCAGGGTGGGCTCGCCCTGTCCACCCTGTAGATCCGCCCCTGAACCAAGCTGATGGTATTCTATTTTAATTGCTTAATAAGAACTGTGAGACTTTTGTTGAGATCATGCATTCTCATGTTATCGCGACGGTTGGTTAATCTGATGTCAGGAGAGACCACTTCTTTGATTACAAATGAAGTGTGACTTGATGAGTAATAACAGGAAGAGCACATATCTTGCCTGACACAAATTGCTATTTTATAAATAAAATCAGAGAAACATTAGTTTCAATATGCCTGAAAAGTGAAGAAAAATGACATAATAAACGTTTCTGGTGCAAGATTAATGTGCCTAGCCTGGTTAGCCTCCATATATGGAATAATCGAGTATATCAGGGGATGTTTCAATATATTAGGTTTGCAGACAGTAGACAAAACGGTGAATGAAGTGGTGACTTCGACTAAATTTGCTCATCCATTCAGGGAGATTCTGTTGCATTTCATCATATTATCCTTTCACATATACTGGTCTGGGTATGGAAAACGAAGGACGGCATAATTCGTGGTTGATTTCTTGGCATTGTTATGACTTACGAGTTATGAGTGCTTCGGGTATCCACAGGTCTTATGAAGGCAGAAGTATTAACTTTGAGTAATTTGTAATAATGGTTTATGAAACTGTCATTTTAGTGATAGCTGCTCCCCCGCAAAAAAAAACTTAGTGTTAGCTGCTGTAGTAGTTTTTGAGTAAGCTAGGTCCTGAACTATAAGGCTTGTGGTTGGAGGGTGATCTGGGGCCAAGAAGCTCATTTCATTTGAAAGCATAAAAAGAAGTATGACTGTAGCAATATTAGCGCAAATGACGCAATGCTCATCAGCTACTTGCTAAAAAGGAAAAAGGTCTCCACCCTCTGCATTATTATTTCTGAAAGCAGGTACTCAACTCAGCAAGTCTTTCCAAATCATAGAAAACTATGTTTTTCACCATCCAGCTGACACATTAATTTTCCTCGTATGAAACCACGGCAAACAGCGAACAAGTTTATTTCAAGTCCAGTCTTCAAAATAGAGCACCATACAGAAGTGATGAATTGTGGTGGCAACCAAGGTGACGATATTTTGTTCTAATTGCTTAAGAGGAACCATGAAGCTTTTATTGTTATTATGTGTTCTCATGTTATCGCAATGGTTGGTTAACCTGATGTCAGAAGACAGCACTTCTTTGAGTCCAAATGAATCATGAATTGATGAATAATAACAGAAGGAGCGCATCTCTTGCCCAACACAAATTGCTATTTAGAACATCAAATCAGACAAATCTTGTTGCCAATATGCCTGAAAAGTGAAGAAAAATGACATACAGAACGTTCATGTGCAAGATTGATGTATCTAGCCTGGTTAGCCACCAGATATGGAAGAATTGTGTGCATCAGGGGAAGTTCCAATATATCAGGTTTGTAGGCACTGAATGTGATCATCCTTACAGGACTTTCGGTTGGATTTCATTATATTATCTTTTCACATTCAGCGACTTCAACTGAATGTGCTCTGGGTAATGGAAAACGAAGGACATCATAATTCGTGGTAGGTTTCTTGGTGTTGTTATGACTGAGTCCAGTGCTTCGGGTATCCACACTTCTTATGAAGGCAGAAGTGTTAATCACTTCTGCTTCCAGTCCTAGCTGCTACTACACTAGGATCACAGTATATACTATACTATTCAAAGATTCCTAAAATCACATATGAAAAACAAGATAAATGCGGGGAACAGGAACAGCACAGGAGCATACGTTGGGACATTACCTCAAACACCTGTTGCGCGTCCAGAACCGGGGCTCCATTCCCGGCCTTGAGATCCCACAGGCAAATCTTCTTATCATACGAGCCGCTCAGGAGGAACCCCTCCTTCATCGCGCTCCACGCCAGCCCATACCCCTCCGCGCCATGACCCCTGAGCACGACATCCGCGCCGCCCTTGTCGCCGTCCTCCCCGAGGTGGTACACGTGCACCTCGTCGACGCAGGTCTTGGTGGCCACGGTGTACGGCCGCTGCGGCATGCACCGGGCGCGGTTGACCTCGCCCTGATGCGGCGCCGAGCGGCCGATGGACACGGACGGGGCCGGGACGGCGCGGCCCTCAGCGGCGGCCGCCGCGGCCAGGCGCGGCGGGAGCGGGAGCACGGCGTCGACGAGCATGAGGTGGTTGGGGGAGTCGTCGGAGGCGTGGGTGCCGAGGACGAGGCGGTGGGAGCGGGCGGAGGCCGGGGACCCCGAGGGGAGCCACTGGACGGTGAGCGAGGGCCACTCGAGCGGGTGGGACATGACGAGGTCGTAGAGCACCGGCGCGTTCTTCTTCCAGTTGAGATACTCCTCCATCTCCATGGCGGCGGCGGCCGCGACGGCCTGGAAGGAGGCGCCGCCGTCCATTGCTGATTTGCTCTGCGCGGGAAAGTGGAGGCGGCGAACTGCTGCTCTCCCGCCAAAATGATCGGTGGTGAGGAAGCCGAGGGTTTCAAGGCGAGGTTTTATTGCGGATATATGGGCTTGTTGGGCTGACAAGCCTGACTTGTCATCAAGCCCAGATCTCTCCCAAAAGAAGTCATCAAGCCCATATTCACGTCAGGCCCAGGATCCCACTAAGAGTACCTCGCGTGCCTAATAGCCCGGCTAGTCGACGAGCCTCTGCTCCTCGCGTTGGATTCCCCAGTCCGTCGCCCCCGCCGCCGCGATGATGCAGTCGCACATGCCGTCGCCGGCGAGGCTGGGGGTGACCGCCTCGTCGCCGTCGCTCCCGCCCAACCAGTCTCCCGCGAACCCCACCTCCTCGCCGCCGCAGGCCAACCCGCCGTCCGCGAGCGCGGCCCCGTCCGCGGCCGGAATCGCGGTCCCAACCCTAACCACCTCGCCGGCGCTGCTCCCGCTCCTGCCGCCGCTCCCGCGCGCGCAGTCGCTGCTCCACCTCATCTCCTCCCTCGCCTCCAACCTCTTCGAGCTCTCGCCCAACCGCGCCGCCTGGATCTCGTCGTACCGGGGCTCGCTCCCCAACTTCCTACCGTCGTCGTCGGCTTCCGCGGCGCCTACGCCGCTGCCGGCCCCGGTCTCCACCACCAAGGAGGCCATGTCGATGCTCACCTCCCTCCAGACGCAGCTCTTCGAGACCGTCGCCGAGCTGCAGGAGACCCTCGACCTGCAGGACGCGCGCGCCAAGCTCGCTCGCGAGGCGCGCGCCAAGGATGCTTCGCTGCTCGCCTTCGCGAAGAAGCTGCGCGAGGCCCACCACGTGCTCGACCGCCTCGTCGACGACTACGCCGACTACCGCCGCGATCCCAAGCGCCCGCGCGGCGCCGCCGCTGTTGACGAGCCCGAGCCGGTGTCGCAGGGCGACTTCGGCGCATCCCTGCACTCCAAGCTCAAGCTGGATGACATCTTGACCTATGCACATCGCATAAGCTACACGACCTTTGCACCGCCGGAGCATGGTGCTGGGCTGCCTCTGAGGGGTGCATTGCCGCCTGCGCCACAGGATAACGAGCTGCGGATGTCACAGCTGTATCAGTTTGCTGATTTGGATGTTGGGGTGCCCAAGAAACCCCTGGAAACGAAGGAGGGGGTCACAGCAGAGATGGAGTCCATGCCGCTATTTGAGCTACCGGAGGAAGAGCCTCCACGGCCATCTATGCTACCAATCACAGTGCCACCAGGTTGGCAGAAAGGTTTGCCTGCTCTGCTTCCTGTTATTCCAATGCCGCCACCTGGATGGAAGCCTGGGGACCCGATCGAGCTGGGTGGCATCATTCCTGCTGTCAAGCCTGAGGAACAACGACCCAGTGTACCGATTCCTGTTGGAGTGCAGCCAAAGGTGCCAAGGGCCCAAGAGCCAATACAGGTCGCAGCTGTGAACCTTGACATTATCAGTTCTAGCAGCGATGAGTACAATAGCGACGTCGGGAGCTCAGATGAAGACGATGAGGACTAATGCTTTTGTAAGCTCGACCATTTCATCATTTGTGTGTTTCCATATCCAGTGTAGCTCATTTTAGTGTAAGCTTTGGCTAGTATTGTGTCATGTGCTTGTCTGTTTAAACTGCTGCAACACAAAATCTATCCGAATAATAGATTTGACTTAAATTTGTGCTAGTTTAGTACAGCAGTCACTAGATCACTTTCTGTGATAAATACAGCCAGTCTAAATGTTCAATTTTCTTGACCTCTGTTCAAAAACAAAAACTTCATTTGCTATTAGGTTTGACTTAAACTTGTTCCAATCTAGTCCACCAGTCACTGGACCACTTGCTGTGATAAATACAGCCAATCTTGACCGTGTTCAGTTTCCTTGACCTTTGTAGTTCAAGACGTTCAGTTTCCTTGACCTTTGTAGTTCAAGATGTTCAGTTTCCTTGACCTTTGCGACCACTATTAACCCAAAACCTGGCTTCTATTATGGATGATAAATGTCATGAATTTAATGTTTTAGTTCATCATTGTAGGTTTCAGTTGTAATTTACCTGCTAGTGTAGTCCAAGGCTAAGCTTTTTTTTTTGAGTAAATCATTCCATGTTTATGGACATCTTCTCAAATCTTCCTGCCTACCTGTGCACTTTGGACTTTGGAGTGATTGCCTTCGTTAATGGCGTATCCCATATGCCTAATATCATCCTTTACATGATTCCTCTCTTCATCTCTGATTGCTGTAATATATAGCGACTTCCCATGGTTTATTATGCCAGTGTGCCCCATAGTAGGGTGGGCATTTGGTTAAACTGAAAGTTAGGTTCAGCTTATTTGGGATTTGGTTTTCTATAATCGGGGACTGAGATAACCACTGAAAATAGAAGGAAAAGTGGAAATATCGAAATACTAAGTGCAATCAAATGTAACCATGTAAAGCGCCACTGGATAATAAATTGGGGTGGTGGTAAAGTTTGCCTTCTGTTATAAACGTCAAACACTTCTAAAAATATATGCAAGATAATTTTCCTTTCAGCTGGCAAATGGGTTAAATTCATGTACCCATCAGCACTCAATATCTCTTGTGTTCTTGACATACAAAAACTATACGTGTGTGAAATCTTGAAGTAAAATGTACCAGTCATTTTTTTCTTTCCAGTAAAAAAAAATCTTGAAGTAAAATGGCTTATATTATGTTACGATTATTTGTATCTGGATACTAAAAATGTAGAGGCAGTTGGCCACCTGCACAAATGCTCACTATCTCTGTAGCAATATACAAAATTAAACCGAACAACTTCTAATTGAACGGACTTACATTGTACTGGATTACAAGTTTTGTGTGCACATCAGAAGTCTTGCTGTAACTATATACTCCCTCCGTCCCGAATTGCTTGTCTTAGATTTGTCTAGATACAGATGTATCTAGACAAATCTAAGACGAGTAATTTGGGACGGAGGTAATAGAATGGAAGATGGTAAGAATATTTGTATATTAACAAATATGATCATATGTAAACTTGATATGTTTTGTTTGTGCCAATACGCTGCTACACGCCATAGATTTATATCATATCCATAAAGCCGACTGCTTGAGCTTGGAGGCCTATGGTGCCTCAACTGAATAGAACCCTAAGGACCTCAACTGAATAGCGCCTCAGCTGAACAGTACCTCCAATCCTTTAGTTACGTGACACTTGCATACTGGAAAGATGCATGAGAAACTTGTCTTTTATCTTCAGCTACTCTTTCAAAGCATCTCCAATTTGCATGCGGTCTATTGGAGTTTCTTTTGAACATGAAACTCCAATGTGCAGAATTGAAGTGATGCAAGCAATTGATATATCTCTTTTCCTGCCAGGGTTTGAGGTGTTTGCTTCTCCTCCATCTTTGTCCTCTGATAACAATTGGTGGTTCTGTCTGGAACTCGAAGTGCCATTTGGACATGCTTGTGAAGGCCTAGAGCTTCTCCAAACTCGCCGTCTGTTGGTCTTTTGCCAGTAAACATCTCCAGCAACAGTACCCCATAGCTGTACACATCACCTAGGATTGAAACTTTGTTGCCCAAACCGTACTCTGCAAACATCATAATAAAAGAATTAGAAGCACTGAACATGCTTACGCATTTAAGCTGAAGACAGTTGTTAGAACGTATTTATGTATACCTAGAGCAGCATAGCCAATTGTTCCTCTCATTGTAGCCCAGCCACTTGATTTCTCTAAACAGCCGCTTGGGTGTTTAGGCAGGGCTCTTGCAAGCCCAAGATCACGAACATGAGTAACCATGTCACTGTCAAGGAGAATGTTGCTTGGCTTGAGATCACAGTGAATAATTGGCAATGGCATGTGTTGGTGAAGATAATCAAGTGCAGATGCCACATCAATGGCGATGCTGAGCCTTACGATGAGATCTAGCACCTTGTCTTGATCATTTTCCTCAGCAGGCTCATGTATCCATTGGTCCGAATTTCCATTCGGTAGAAATTCAACAAAAGAGCTTTGAAATCCATACTTGACCAGACTGTCAAGATCTTCACAAGGTCTCGATGCCGAACACGACTTAGGGTCTTGCATTCTGCAAGAAAACTTTGAGATGCACAACGCTGTTGCAGATTGAACACTTCGACAGCTACAATGACCTGCTGGTCGTGGATCACCAGTCTTCCCTTGTAGAATGATGAGTCTGTGTTAGCTTGGTGTGGCTTGCTCCTCCTGCTATACCAGCAAGCAAACATTGCTACAATGAGGACGATAAGCAATATGACTCCACTGCTTTTGAAGATTGTCATGATAAGCTTCAAAGGCCGTTTCTTGGAGGCATTGGTGGAACACGGAGGCAACTTCATTCCAGGGATGCCCCCGCACAGTCCTTCATTTCCCTGAATTGCGGTTGAGTTTGCATCAAGAAATATCCCCTCTTTTGGGGCTATAAAGTTATACTACCAAGGCCTGTTATACTCCCAAGAAACTCAGGAATTTCTCCTGACAGGTTGTTATCTGAAAGATCCAAGTATTTCAAGGCGAGTTAAATGCACTGGAGGTCCTAAAAGTTTTGTTGTTTTGTCACTTTAGTCCTAATTCTTTCAAAATGCACCTTTAGGTCCTAATTCTTTAGTAAGTGGTTCATACGAGGTCTTTTTTCACAAGCGCTCGCTGACTTGCCCATGTGGCGCGTTAACCGATGCCACGCCGACTGAGGTCCCAACCGCCAGGCGAGAAAAATACACTAGAGTTCCTAAAAGTTTCTTGGCAGTGTCATTTTAGTCCTACTTCTTTTAAAATGCACGTTTAGATCCTAATTCTATAGTAAGTGGTTCACCCGAGGTCTTGTTTTGCTCAATCGTTCGCTGACCTGCTTGCGTGACGTATTGACCCATGCCACGTCAACTTATAGACCGCTGCAGTTGCTCTTTTTTTTTGACAAAAAGACCCTTGTAATCCTCCCCCTCTTGACATTTCCCGGTCCCTGCCGAATCTCT